AGTAGCGCGCTCTTGAGAGCTTTGCTTAGTTGCTTTCTATCGATCTCTTTATCTCTTTCTACGACGTGCAATGTATCGCTGGGCTGCTTCATGATTTCTAGGAGACGCTCTCGAAGGTTGGTGAGCCCGGTTACCTCGTGGACCAGGGCGTCGCCATGTCTTACGGCCGCGTTGGGCGGTGCGGCTTCCGATAAAGCACTTTCCGGTCTTCAGGGGGTGTATGTGAGCACAATTGAGCTCTTTATTCCAAGAATGAGAGTTCTCGCTGTTGTTGTGCTTTTTAACTCAGCAATTTTGTGTTGTGTGAATAGCACGACCCAAATCAAATCATTCAAATCACGTTTTTTTTTTTTTGCATAAGCGACTATTCTCTACACAGATAAATTAAACAAAACGCAACAGAACACAACATTTTGCTCATCCATAAATCATTTCCACAATACTTATTTCTTCCTTTTGTCTCTTTGAACACAGCACATCCACAAGCACCGCCTAGTTTGGGCTAGTCATCTGTGCAAGATCCCCGCCATACCTGACCCTGAAATCCCCACCGTGCAATCTCCTGACGAGAGATCTTGCCGCCCGTCCCAGCAGGTGCCCTATCCCAATTTACTCTCCACTCTTATCCTTGTCCAATATTGCGGCGTTGGCAGGTGTAACCTTATGATTTTCTCGAACCTTCTCTCTTTCTTCCTATCTGAGCTTACGGAATTTCAACTAGTTCCACACGTGCACCAGGACCAGAAGGCATGCCTTGCACCCAGCCTCCCTAGGATAAATTCTATACATATACCTTCGCTTATAAAGGTTCTGCGCATGATAGCAATACCATTCATTAAAGACATACTATCCGTCGATCTCGTAGCATGCCAATTTCGGTCTTGCTCGCTTCTGGTCCATCCTACAGCCCTGTTGGTCACTGAATCCAACATGACATAGACATCCTATATGAGGTGTGACAAAGTGAGCCTTTCACAAGACGGAAGACTATACACATGCTGTAGTGCAAAGCAATGGCGTTGAATGAGGAGTCAGGCTAAGCTCAAAGGGTGTGGGCAAAATAAATCCTACATAGCTTGAGTGCATGTCATACAATCGCAAAGCCTCTCACACAGCGATGGCAGGGAGCCAAGGCCGGACTAGCACCAGAGCCTCGCCGCTAGAGAAAGTGGCGACGCCGCGTTGGTGCTGGAACCTCACTACAAGATAGATAGCTTAAGAGAGAAAAGCTCCCTAGCGATCATTCTCAATCTACAATTCGTGCTCCTGTGCCGCACCCGAGCGCCGTCATCTAGCTCATTCTCCTTTTCAACAATCACCCTTTGTGCATGAGGATCACTCAAGACACGCAATATCAGCTTCATTGGCTTGTATGGCTGGGTGACACTATTTGTATATCCTTACAGCGCACCTGAGTTGCGTGTCTTCTACTGTTCCAAGCTATGTTGACGACCTTACATCCCGAACTGGAAAACATGAGGAAATTTAATCTTTGTTCCAACGGAAGCTGCTATTGTTCATTTCCCCCTTCCGAATCTATCTCGAGCTTTAGATATCGATCATAGTCTATCACAAAGTTTATGTAATTCCCTCAACTGAGACCCCGGAAGCGGCAACGGAAAGAATCCTGGAAACTGCGGGCGTAAGCAGCAGCACGACAGTAGGCTACCTCATAATTCACCTGAACGCATGCCTCATTACCAAAGGTTACGTATGGTGCAGGTGGTCTTCCTACTTATCTGGCTAATTATTCTGTGACCGGCTTAGAGAATCCCGTAAGTATCATGTTTAACTATTTATATCCCTTTGCAAAACCTCGGTGCAGCCAACACAGAGCAGATGGCCCAGCGACCAACCCAGCGGAATCTTTTCGTTGAGAAACGGACTTGGCCTGATGACTATCGGCAGAAGCACGACGGCATTCATCGGCTGTGGTCCTGGCAAGCTTGTGCGAATTGATGGTCTTGGGATTGCCTACTACTGCTGCAGTGTTCTTGCATTCACTTGAGGACAGTGTTTAACTTGAAATACAAGCCAGATCATGCCGAAAGCAAGCTGTAGAACAGCATAAGTGGAAAACATAGAAGATCAGAGGCTGACGGTCAGACGGTGCAGGATGGGGACTAGATGACAGGGTACGGGGTGCAGCATGTGAGGACGAATTGTGAGTTGAAAGTGATCTCTTGGAGAGCCTCCCCTAAGCTACCTGACTTATGTAGTGAGGCCCCGGCACCAACCCGGTGTGGGCCATTTCTCTGGCGGTGAGGCTGCGGTGCTAGTCCGGCGTTGCCCACAGCCTTCGTTGTGTGAGGCGTTTTACAAAGAATAATGAATACGAAAGAGTAAAGAGATTGATAGCATTCAAAATTACTTACGAACGCCTTCACCAAACAAATGGCCGCGCAGATCAGGATGAATAACCATAAGCTATGTAAACCTATCCCTGCCGCTTTCCTGGTTCAAGACAGTGTGAAAAGCACTTTGTTGGTCAATAAGATGATCCGCTATGCAAGGCTTGATACAGCTTGGACAGTGCCGAACATGTTATCCTTGCTGAACCTTGACTTCCATTAGGACAAATGTTTCCATAGGAAGACAGAATGCCCGGGTCCTATCTAAGAACGGGGAATCCGTGCTCCTCAAGGACTTTCCTCCAGTGCTCCCGCGCGGCAGCAGGGTCGGCTGCCGGGATGAAAAGATTTTTAGGACTAGGCAAGTCGATTGGAGGTTCGACCGAGGCTTTCAAAGCGATATTTAATCTCTCTCGGATGGCTTCCAGACACACGTGACAGTACCATGTTGGTGGCAACCACGTCCTTCCTTTAAACATCGGCAATTTCTGTATACAGGCTTTGTGATGTTCGGGGTGAATGCAACTCTACACACAGCTCCGTATCAGTTAAGCTGTCGAATGAGAAATTTCAACGCGAACTTGGAGTATGTCCACTAACCTTGTTGGCACAACTTATCCGTGTCTTGAGACTTGCACTGTTCACCTTCACGCCGCAGAGACACTCGTCTTTGGCACGCGATGATCTCGTAGTCATTCCCATCTTCTCAAAGTCGTATGAATTGTCGACCGCAAGCAAAGAGGAATCATTCCTCACGTCCTGCGACACGTTCATGCACGCTCTGTACATGTCCTCGCTGATGTAGCTTTTGCTCCACGCCGCGTAAAGAAAGTCTTCAAACATCTTAGCTATCGTTGCATCCTTCAGCCACGCACGCCGCTTGTGCAGCCATCGTCGTAGGCAAGGTCCGAGGAATATATCGCCGCGAGGCTGTTCGGACTCAATATGTGTATTCATGTCCAGAAGGAACAAACGCTCCTTCTCATCCGGTATCATCTGCATCATTTCCACACGTCGAGCGGCTCTTAGGTGTTCTTCGTCAATGTCGTCATCCTCATCCGACAGCATTTCTCCTGCGGTCAGTGTGGCTTTGTTATCCGAGGAGAGAAATCTGAAATCGGGTTGCGTGGGGTGGCGCGCTACCGGTACCCTCCGCTTGGTGCGCGCCGGTAGCTCAAGCTGAACATCCGCCACGGGCACATGGATAGGCGCTGGAAGTGGCTGGGGGATATCCTTTGCCTTCCGCCCTCTCATAACTGTGAAGCGGGGGTCTTTCAACACTTGTTGAGCGCTGATTGGAGCGTAGGGGTCATATGGAGTGGTAAACTCAAAGTCATCAATGACGCTGTCCTCTTTATCGCTTACGCCTTTGACTCTGCCCTTGTTGTTGGTGTTTTTATGCTTCGGGAATGAAACACCGTTTACAACGATTATGTCGACGACGCTCTCGTCAATGGCGCCAGCAGGCGCGTCGGTCTCGATGCTAAATTCAAGACACGTATGTGAATTGACAAGATGGACCTCAACCTTATCCAGCGACTTTAAATCCCGACCTCCACAGAGAATGCATTGATAGCCGTGCTTCTCAATCAATTGACCGTTAATGTGCCACCGCATGGTGACGTCCGTAGATGCAATTGACGAGCCTGATCTCGGTGTAGACACAGGTGTGGGAAGCTGTCCGTTACTTTTATGTCGCTTGGTCATGTTCCATGCCTCGAGTGGCGTGCTCGTTCGCCGGCGTTTTCCTGTGCCACTGCTGGGCAGCCATTGCTCTGTGCCCCAGCCCATGTTTACATTGAGCACGTACTTGGTCGTGGTGTCTTTCCCTGCGAAGATTGCCAAGTAGTCATTCGCCGCAGGACATCTTGGTAGCCTGGCCCATTGCGCCCACAGAACGCCATTTGGTCCTTCTGCGCTGTTGATGCTGAGCGCTTCCCACACATCATATCCGTCTTGCGGACTGGGGAATATGAGCTCAAATCGCATAAGATAATCCTCGGCCATAGCCTCGCGCCAGGTGATGTCATTTTCGACAATGTCTTTCATATGGTCCATCTGAAACTCGAAGGGCTTCTCGCCGGGTGTCAGAGTGGTGGAGAGGTTGAACCTCCCATCGGCTCTCCTTTCTCCATGCAATCTCGTCATCCTGTGGGTGGTGTGGAGACAGGTCTGGGGATTTCGTCTGCTGTAGATGCCTAAGCGAAGCCGACAGCGAACATCAATCACATTTCCTCGGCTTCGACCGTTCGAGGTTGAAGCACGAACGGCGGTCCTATCAGCTGTTGAACGTCTCCCACCGGGTGCCACGCCGAGCACAGAGACCTTAAGCTTGGGCGACAGACGCTCGTTCATCTCCGTCAGAAACACTGCACCCCGCAGGTCAAACTGGTCGCGTTCGAGCCGGGAAAGCTTGGCACGTTGGATTTTGTCTCTTTCACAGCATAAACGCTGATCGATATTACGCTGCAAAAAAGGTGGTTGCTTGGTCAGATCTGATATAATGAGGGCCCCGGCAAGCTGTTGGAACTGCTTTGTGTTCATGACAGGCGGACATCAGCTCGAACGCGTCATAGCGTTTGGAACATGAACAGCCAATGGATTTTGGGGTGGGGCAATGGTAAGAAAAAAGAGAAATAGCGTTTCCCAGCGGCTCAGAATGTCCGCGATGGAAAGTCCATTCCAGAAGGATGAATAGAGGAAAGAAAGCAGCCGGTTCAAGGCGGTTGTGCTGGAGCAAGGAGGTAAATTAGCGGGTGGATTTGACCAACGGATGGCAGCTACGCACAATCCTTAGATTTCCAAATATAGATGGACTATAGAGTGGTCGGCTGTGGCAAGGGAAGGGGTTACAGAGCAAACAACAAGTACAAAGGACAGAATCTGAGAGCGTCGTCGCGGCTGGATGACCACGCACGAAAGACGAAATTCCAGAAAGGGGATGCTTGCGGAACGAGTGCTGGACGTGACGAGATTATTGAGACTGCAGGGAAAGCTGAAGAGGGCAGTAAATATAGATGCAAGGAAGCATGTCAGATGATAGAGACGCGACTTACACGGGCGTGATGCGGTGGACGCCGGCGTTGGCGTGCGAGTTGGTCGCGTTCAGATTCTCGTCAGCGACTTGAACGCGCGAGATCATTATGAGTACAAGCAAGGTTAGAGCCACAGCACAGGCCAACGCAAGGCTGTCCAGCGCCAGACACGTGCGCACTCCGACAGCACACACAGAGTCAGCGCCTTCGGAACGATCTGCCCCGCCTGGGGCAGTGAACACGCGAGAGGACGGAGGGGACGCACGAGCGCAGGCGAAAGTTGCGGACAGGAATGGTGGGCAGGAAGAACAAGGCCAAGTCGCCAGCGGTTGGACGGCCTCGCGGCCTGAACTGTGCTTCGAGTAGGGCGAGCTTGGTGCTAAGACGTCGACCGTAGCGGACTTGGCGTGCAGTCGCGCGGCGGGCTTGGCGTGCTCGACGACTCGATCGCTCAGCGGCTGCTTGTGGCGCGGCCGCTGCTTGCTTCTGCTACTGCTACAACAGTCGCTGCTTCCGCCACTACTCCCTCGCCCTTCTGTCCCTGCAACCACCTCCTGCTCCCGCCGCTCCTGCTGCTGCTGTCCACCTCCACCGCCGCCCGGCAGGTCGCACCCTAACCCTAGTCCACCATCATCTCGGCCTTGACGCACGCGGAGCCCGTCACCTGCACCGAGTCCACGGCATAGTGACCTGGCGAGGATGCGCCTGCTACCCTCGTCGCTCTGAGCCGGCTTGGATCTTTTATCTCTCTTTGTCTGCTCGCCCTCCACCTCCGGACGCCTTCTGACAATGCAAATCTTTGCCAGCAATCCTTTCGTCGCAGACACCCCCGCCTGTCGCCCATACCATGGCTCCTCTCCGCCCTCGCCGCAGCTCGCATTCGGTGTCGTACCGAGAATCCCCAGCGACCGAAGACGAAGAACAGACCGACAAATTCGAGGCATCTGAGGATGCATCGCCTCCACCGCCACCCCGCTGTCGTCGGTCCACCAGACGAGGGGCGCCTTTGCGCATCACGCCTGGCTCGTCCAGGTCGATGCAAACCCGAAGGCGACCACGTGTGAGGTACGAGGAGCAATCGACGGACGACGAGGATGAGGATGAAGACTTCGTTCCAGATGAGCGAAGGGCTGTACCTGAGGTCGCTGCCATTGAGAGAGCACCTGCTATACGAACGAACCCCAGGCGTGCGTCTGGGCGGCTGCCTAGGAAGACAACCAAAGCTTCGCCGCGAAAGACGCTGCAGAGACAGTCGCAGATAGATTCGGATTCCCGCTGGCCGAAGCTTTCTCGCCGCCACCAAAGTACTGCCAAACCGCCTACATTACGCCATGTTTGTATTCATGCGTGTGCTAACCTGTGCGCAGATGTAGCGGCACAGCCAGAACCCCGTGGCCCTTCGCAGCCAGACCCGAGCTTTACGGGCAAACCGTGTCCCTGGACGTACCTCCCCTTCGAGATCCTTCGCGACATCCTAACATACGCTTCGTATCCGCTGCTCGACCACCAAGGCTCTGCAACAAGCCACGTAGAATGGCTCTTAAAATTCCGGTCCATACACCCGGCTTTGTTGGAGGCCTCACAAGCAGTGCTATATTACTGCCCGCCTCTGACCAGCGCTGCCGTAGCACATAAATTTCTGTCGCTGATGACGCAGACAAATCCGAGAGCGGCAAATTACAACGTCAAGGTCAGGCATCTGAAAATCGAGGCTCGGAACACACTGGCATATTCGGCCGGGGTTGAGCTTGGCTCGTTTGACTTGGGCGCGCTGGTGAGACAGCTGCCTCAGCTCACAGGCATTGACGTGTGGACGATGCTGGATCATCCTGATGTTAGGCGCGCTTCCATCACGTCGCGGTCGTGGTCGTATCCAGACACTATGTTCAAAGCGCTGGCTGATGTCGGTCAGCGCCTTCGCCGTTTTCACTGGAACTCGCGTTTCATGGGCAAGCAGGCCACTGAGGATCCTTCCGCAATGTACCGGTGGATGCATGATCTACATCAACTGCCCGCCTTTCAGAGCCTCACGTATCTTAAGCTGACGAATTTTCTCGGCGACAGCGACGCGAGGATAGATCTTGACTTCGCAGTGCATTTCTCAGCGCCTGGTAAACCGCTGACGGCAGCACAGCAGAAAAAGGAGGCTTTACGTCTAGAGAAAAAGAATGCCCAACACAGGCAGGACGAATTGCTAGCCAAGGCTGTTTCAGGTCTTCCGAACCTTCGGAAACTCGAACTCCACATGTGCAGCATTGTCGATGGCGACTGGCTGTGTCTTCTCCCGCAAGGTCTCACCCATCTCGGCATTCTTGAGTGCGATCGTCTCACATCTGAAGGGCTCGAAGAGTTCTTGAATACCCACGGTCAACACCTCCAGGTCCTAATTCTGAATCATAACCCGGCGCTGAGCATCTCGTTCCTTTCTACTTTGGCGAAAAGCTGCCCAGCGCTGCGGGAGCTTCGCATGGATCTGACATACTTCCGCGACCTGCTGACGGTGGATAACACAGCAGATCCAATGTATGAGCATCTCCTCCTTCCGGATGAGAGACCGACATGGCCCAGGACGCTTCAGACTATATCAATGAACCACTTGCACCATTTAAGCTCCCCTGCAGCAGAAGTTTTTTTCACGTCGCTGATAGAAAGTGCCGAGGAGCTGAAGGATCTGAGACGCCTGCTGCTTAGCATGAGCTTGGATATCTCTTGGCGGGACCGAGCAAAGATGCGGGACGTTTGGGAGTATAGAATAAAACGTGTTTTCCTCAGGAACACCCCACCGCCTAACCCATACTGGTGGAGTTTGGGGAGCTTCAAGCAGTGGAAGGAGAGGAAGGTTGCTGAGGTGGTCATCACGTCACAGAATCCGGAGCGTCACAGTGAAGTCACCACAGTCCCTGTCGATAAGACTGATCTTGACGAGGACGAGGACGACGACGGATCGGACATGCCCGTACGGAATAGAAAGCGCACAGCAGTTATTGTCAGTGGGAACACGCGCCGTCTTCGACCCCGCAAGACTGTTGTCGAAGAAGACCACACGGATGATACTGAACGACTGCCTACATTTGGCAGTAATGTACGCGACACGGTAATGGAGACGCTTGACCGGCACGTTCAAGGCATGTGTGAGGAGGTTGACGTGCGAATCGATAATATCCGGCCGCGCGAAGAACAGTTCCACGAGAATGATTTCCTGACCGCCGAACCAAGTGGGGATGAAGAATGGAACGGGGTCGATTTGGACGATGACGAGTTATACTACACTAGGAATGGAGGGAGAAAGCCAAGATACGCCTGGTAGTGGGAAAAAAGGGTTGATATATGTTCGCATATAATTATTGTATGTCTGTATGTGTATGTATGCATGGGATTGTTCATCTATGCATCTGTTGGCGCAAGAGGTTCGCAAAGAATTGAAACGAGCCGCACATATCAGGCAAATGAAGCAAATAAAATATGGCCAGCAACCATCTCACGCGCAAATCTTTCAATTTGGACGACGTCTTGCTCCCTTCCAGCCACTTAATGCTTCATTGGGAAGAATCTGCGTTCCTTGGTCTTACTCCTTCGCCCACAGGCGGGCCAGGCAGGCCAACGCGGCCCGCTGCCTCCATGACCTGTTTGGGGGTCTTCAACACCTACTTTCCAAAACACCGCACACAAATGCACTGGGCTCGACGGCAACAAAAGTCCCCGGTGCCCGGGACTCAAAGAGAAGGCGAGCGACTGGTCTGAACGCGCCAGGTCGCGGCCGCTTGGGGTGAAGAAGAAGATGATTGTCTAGCGAAGGTCCGAGCCCGCCATCGATGCCTGCCTGGAAGCTTTCATACGTCTCGGGCACGGCCTGACGTCGTAACCATGGAAACCGATATCTTGGCTCTACAGCGCAATGGCACTTTTGCTCCACTGGACGTTCGACGAGATGCACACCTCATACCACGCACTTTCTTTCAGCTGCTGCCCTGCGCTTGAAATGCTACCTCTCGGAATCCCCAAGGACGTCTGATCATCTTCAACATCGGCCTAGGCATGTCTGTCGCGAGACTTTCCCGACAAAGCAAACTTAGCTTCGACAAAGTGCATGCTCTCCTCGGGGCCGCCCCTTTTTCAGACAGCGCTGATTCCACCCCTTGGCTGCCTGATTCCCTGCGTTCTGTGGTTCCTCGATCTCAAGCGCTGGAACCGAGCTAAGCGAAGAGCTGAAGCTCCAATCCTCCTCACGCTTCCTCAACTTGGCCACCACCACGAGATGCAAGTAGATGATTAGCCATAGCAGCTGCCTCTTGCAGGCTAGGTCCATATCCTCGCGAATCCACGTCAATTAGATGCTGAGTTTAAGTGCCCTCCTTATTGAGCGGAAACTTCTAAAAGTTAGCTATACAATCGAGTCGAGATGGTGTACCAGCAATGCGTCGCGCAAGCGTCTTTCTAGGTAGAGCATAGATCTTTGCAGCTTGTGTAACCGACCGAAGTTGGCCTTTTTTTGATTGCTAATTTTGCTAATAATAACTATTCTTTATTATAAGATAACTACTGCAGTTTCATTGCCGCATGATTGTTAAAAGATAATCGACGCATTTTGGTTGGGCAAACGGGCCACCGCTTATAATGGATGTTAGACTATTACTGTGACTTTGGTTTGGTTTAATTCCTACACGGTTGTAGCAGCTCTTTCCTCCGCCGCTATGCCCGATTGGGAGGACTTCGGCGAATAGCCGACACGTGATAAATTACATAATAAGTTAAGTTAACGTTAAGTTATCCTAACTAGGATGGGTCTGTCAGTCTAAGCACATACCAAGTATCACGTGACATAAGCAAACGCTGGCTAGATAAGAGAGGAGAGCCAGGGGTAGGGGACAGGACAATAACCATACAATCGATCAGTCAAGACAGCATACAATGAACTAAGCAGGTTTACGATCTCACTTATGCACCATTCATCGTTCCCGTGATCTTCCGCACAGACATTGACAGGGTCAGGGTAGAAGTCATGACCCCCGTGTGCACGGGCCTAGGTATGCACGCGCCATCCACCACCAGCACCCAGGCACTATATTAATTAATAGCATATGCAATAATGGTTCAATCAATATAAAATTATATATAGTATTATAAGTGATTTATATGAGCCTATTGACTAAGTTTCATAATCTTTAAGCCATTGTGGCGGTTTGCGCAAACGTTTTGACTGCCCATCTGCCACCTTCGAAGAATCACCCTTAGTACCATCCACCACCATCACCTCGGGATTATGAAGCTTTTTTGTCACCCGTGATTGCTTTATTAGGCCATTTTCTTGGTGTTGAGCCTGATTAGGTTTAGCCTGCTTAATTTTTGAAGGTGCAACAGGCTTTGAAGATGCATCCTTAG